TATAATTTTATTTTAAATTATATCGAGCGCATAGGAAAATTCCGCACAGAAAAAAGCCCACTGTCAAATGCTCCCACGAAAAATACCCACCCTTAATAATGCGTTATGTGCATGCTATGACGTGAAGTTCAAACCTGCAATATTCTTATTGACATGAACAAAGAATATGTTTATAAATGAAATTATAATAAATAGAAAGTTCTGTAAAGTCAGCATGGAGAAGTCCTGGAGAAGTCGTAAACCGGGACGGTCATTTCAGATTCGTTTGTTTGATTGTTATGTTTTACATTGAATTAGATTGGGTTAAGTTAAAGGGGCATCTGCGCAGAAGGTGATGCGCAGTGACGTGATGCAGATTGTCTATGTTAAGGCATCGTATGAGTTCTATTACCGATTGCGGGAAATTAAACACCCAAATATTTCAATGTCCTTAAATTTTAGAACAAACTTGTGTTTGAGTCACTACTATAGCTTTATACTTGAAATATCTTATATTGTCACCTTCTTGTTAACCTCGAAAGACAATTGGCTCACGTCACTTGTGTATGTTTTTACGCAGTTGTAGATGTTTAATTTGCATGTGTGGTCTGCTTACGCTTAATAATTATTAGTACACTTGTGAAATTTTATTTTAGAATCTATCGAGATATTAACAAAGATCCGGCTTGTCAGAAATATATATGTATACATATGCACACACACACACGTCACATTTAGTCAGGTCCAACTTCTGTAAATCAGGTACATCTGGAATTTATTTGGCTGTTACCATAAGGAACACGCCTCTAATGTGCACACGCATAATGTCGAAAGTTAATTCACGGCGTTTAATGACACATCTCGGCAATTCACACGTACACGTACATGAGACCGTAAGTGTAATGTTGTACTTGTCTCCATCTTGCATACCTCACTGAAAGGAGAACGTTTTCTGGTATTCACTGTACGAAGCACACAGTGGTTTAATATGTATCGGAGGAAATAAATGTTGCTTATTATCCCGATGAGAGAATTTGTTAGAGTACCGACGTCCGAAAGCGTGAACTTAAGAACTTAACTAAAATCGAAGGCAAACTATGAATGACGGAGACTGCCCTGCCTCTCGACAAAATGTATAGCGACTGACATTCACTTCCGGGGCTGTCATCGATCTCACGTATTTGAAAGCTCCAATCGAATCGAAAAGTTAATTCACGGCGTTTAATGACACATCTCGGCAATTCACACGTACACGTACATGAGACCGTAAGTGTAATGTTGTACTTGTCTCCATCTTGCATACGTCACTGAAAGGAGAACGTCCTCTCGTCTTCACTGTACGAAGCACACAGCGGTTTAATATGTATCGGAGGAAATAAATGTTGCTTATTGTCCCGATGAGAGAATTTGTTAGAGTACCGACGTCCGAAAGCGTGAACTTAAGAACTTAACTAAAGTTCAAGGCAAACTATGAACGACGGAGACTGCACTGCCTCTCGACAAAATTACTAACGACTGACTTTCACTTCCGGGACTGACATCGATCTCTCGTATTTGAAAGCTCCAACCGAATCGAACCACGTAATTTTCGGTTTAGTGTTCTGAGTTTGTGAGCTCTGCTGTCGGCCAATCGTTACGGAGAGTGGTTTGCGTGTTCGTCAGTGGTCGTGGGTTTGTCCTGAAGGAGTGCTGGAGAATTCCAGTAGAAGTCCTGGAGTAAATCTGGATAATTCATACAGTGTTGTAGGACAAGTCCTGGATAGTTTATGCGGAATATCATTGGTTGTGGAGAAGTGCTTAAGAATCACAACTGCTCCCATTGGCTAGGGCAAGGTACTCCATCCACGGTCCTTCTCCTACAAACCCATCCCCACACACCCAATTGGCACGTTTATCTCCCTGATGACGGAGGCGGTATGACCTCTGAAACGTTGGTTAACATCGACCAGACCACGCAGCGCAACAACCCAGAAGACAGAAATCTTCATACTCACCGCTGTGAAAACCTCAAATCTTACTTGTCTTGTGTTTGTGTGACCATTGCACTGTTGGGATCTGGTTGTGTCTGAATCGCACCTGACAAATCTTCATATTTTTATATTATTAGGTTTTTTCTTATAAAATAAATTGCTCAGTGTATTACCCATATTATATTTTATCATGTGGAACTTTATGTTATCCTGTGTTAACAGGAATACCCTGACTATTATGAAGTGATAAAGCGACCCATTGACCTGGAACGGATCTCACAGAAGTTGAAGTCGTCACAGTATGAGAGCCTGGATGACATGGTGTCTGATTTTGTGCTCATGTTTGACAATGCCTGCAAATATAATGAGCCTGATTCGCAAATTTACAAGGTGACTATCTTGGTCAAACTGGACATTCTAGTAACATTAAAAGGAATGTAATGATTCTTTCTCCGTGATTGTTTTAATGATCACATGTGATGTTTCGTACCACCCTAAACTCCATGTTTCATTTTGATGTAATGCTATATCTACAGATGAATGTAGGGAATTGGAAATAATTCCTTCTTATATGAAGCTTCATCAGACAGTAGACTGCTGAAAGTGAAGCATTAAGTACTGACGTGATGTCAGGATTATTGTTTTGTGGATTTTAAAATGCCGACTGTGTAGTATTTAGTTGTGATGGATGTGTTTCAGGAATATGTAGGTATCTTATTTTGACCTTATTTTGCGCAGGATGCTCTCATGCTGCAGAGAGTTGCTCTTCAGACAAAGTTGCAGTTACGTGAGGATGAAGAAGCTGTACCAGATGTGACTGCAGCTGTCCAGGAGCTTCTTACATCACTCTTCATCTCAATCTACAATCACCAGGATGAAGAGGGTCGCTGTTTCTCTGACTCCATGGCCGAACTGCCAGAACACGATGAAATTGACGGTTCGAAGTAAGCTGACGCCCATGCCAGTAATGAAATTGCACAGTTGCACAGTTCATTAACTGGGTGCCAAAATTGTTGCCCGCATTATTATGACTTAAAGTTTGCGTCTGTGATGTAAATTAATGTGTGTATTATACATGTGGCATTATCAGTGAACCATATAAGAACTGAGGTTCTTATAGCAGTGGAGATGTCGATGATTGTGTTCTAGGTCACTACACCACATGTGCTTGTAGGTATATGCCAACATTTTGGAGGACACATACTGCTTCCACTTCCGGGTTGAAGTGAACATTTACACAGTATATCATGATCCTAATTATTATCCTTATCGATCCTACTGTTAGACATTTTTTGCGACACAAGTAGTACGAATTAAATTCTTTCAAAAAGTTTTTGTAAACGTGTATTTTCTTCAGTTGATATTGTATGTAAGTCTGGGGGTGATATTTTCCGTTTCACATCTCATTAATTCAATATATTATTACCAGTTTCTTTTATAGTGTTGCATAAAATGTTTCTTGTTGATGAAATCTGTATTTTTCATCCTGAGTCGATTTCATGAAATGCATTTTATAAAGTATACCACAGAATTTGAAAGTTCCTTCTACAAGGAATAAAATGGGGTTGCTCGTTACGTGTAAAATGAAATGTTAGTTTTTACATAAATACTTAGTCAAAGTTTAATTTATTTTATTGCAAAGTTTTAGCTATAGTACAAGTTTGAAATTTCTGTCTTGAGTGACCTCAACCGCAAGCCTTGGTTTGTCCCATATATTGCAATTTTCTATGCTTGTTACAGTCGTGTTATGTTGGGCAGTTTTATATTCCCCTCTTCTGATGTAAAAATTGTAATTGCCTAGGATTCGAGCCCTGTCTTTGGATCTCATTAAGCGGCGACTTGATCGTGGACTATATCGTCGGTTGGACACATTTCAAGAAGATATATTTGCCTGTCTGGAAAGAGCACGTCGTTTGTCTCGTACTGATTCGCAAGTGTTTGAGGATTCTATTGAACTACAGTCATTTTTCATTAGACAGAGGTATGCAGTGATGTTAACATAATGTAAAATGAAGATTTAATCTTAGAAATCTCTATATGTTACTAGCCGAATGTTGCGTGTTTTTAGAGATGAACTTTGTCGTGGAGGTGATTTGCTACATTCTCCTGCTCTGAGCTACACACTGTTGCATTTGGCAGCTGCAGTGGAGGCAACTCGACAACAGAAACTACTGCAAGAACAGCCTGAGGAGGAAGGAGAAACACGCAGTTCTGAAGATTCACTCAGGGTAAGTAATTGTCAGTTCCAGCGTAGTTATCATATGGACGTTTGTGGACACAGTGCATCCGTTTTATCTTATTTGAATCTCTCCATTGTTTTGTGGTCATATGAATTTTTCATTGCTTTATTTGTTTATAGTCTTTTGTTCCTATGACTTTCCCACTTGGTATGGGTCATCTGATCATTTTCTTTTTATGTATTTTTTAAATGAATTATTGAAAAAGCTCACAAAGGCTTGCTATGTTCTGTTTCCATGATCATAATATTGAAGTGACATTACTATGTTGCTATCAAGTAGGTAATTCCAAAATTCTGTAAAATTATTGTGAAGAATTGATAGTGTGAAATGTAAATTATTTTGTGGTAGTTTGTACGTAGAAAGAAAGAAATAAAGACACACTTACATGACTCCAAATTTACAGACATTGAAGTACTAGATTTTTCTTACATGAAGTGTCTTCTTTTCTAGGATGCAGGAGGTAATACATCTTCAGGTGACTCCATGAGTTTCAATCAGCAGGTTTACAGAATTGGAGACTTTGTTTATGCAGAGCCAAAGGAACGTGGAATGGATACCAGCATTATAAACATTGAGAGATTATGGACCAACCAAGAAGGACAGCAGATGATGTATGGGAACTACTTCTATCGTCCCAATGAGACGTATCATGTTACAACTCGAAGGTTCTTGGAGAAGGTAAGTATCTTCATCATTACGTAGTAAGAAAATCCTGGCAAGATGAGAACTTGTATTTATATCTTCTTCTATGGCTCTCCAGTCCGTATTCAGTCCATGGCCTCCTCAATTCTCCTCTTCAATTTGGTCCTCTGTTAGGTCCGTCTGTCCGAGGCTTTGATCAAGGTTTCGAAATGTCTACCTTTTTATGGTGCAGGGTTGTTAGCCTTGCGACCAACCCCCAACCTGGAGGACCAGGGTACCTGTCTTAGTCTGACCTCTCCCTCTCGACCAATCTGTCTAGGGAGGCTCTACCAGTAGCTCTTGGGGTCACTGAGGTACTCAAGTCGCACCACCACGACAAACTGCAGGTACCATTAAGTGGGGTTTCAACGTTTGACAGATATCTTAATTTGTATTAGTATACATGTTCTTATATGATTTTTCAAATAAAAACAAGAAAGAAGAAATATTTATGAGAACCATTAATGAATTCTCTGTTTTATAATTGTTACAGGAAGTGTTTAAGAGTGATGTACACACTGCCATGCCACTGGATCAAGTTCTAGGACTTTGTTGTGTTTTAAGTGTGAAAGACTATTTCCGTTCCAAACCCGAGGGTTTCGCTGAAAAGGATGTGTATGTTTGCGAATCACGATATTCCACAAAAGCACGTGCTTTCAAGAAGATTAAGGTAGGGTTTTGATGACTTTTATTTGCATGGCACTTCTCTTTGAACCTGGTGCGTAATAGTTATCTCACCATATAATATTTGATTTATATTTCAGGGTTTGATGGTTATTATAGGTTTCTAGTGCATTCTTATTGTTTTTGATACACAGTTGGTTTATTTACATACTTTTTAAACATTTTACTCTCGTTAGATATGGTATCATCCACTTTGTTAACACATTGCCTTCAAACAGTTTATAACTATCTGGTCAGGTAATAGAGAGTTAACTGTATTTATTATTCATTACGAAATTCCATTTTTATTACTGTAAATTGTAATGCCACATAGAATAGGGCACGTAAAATGAACGGTGTTGATTATGTTCTCAGTAACTAAGGTTAACAGTGTCTTTCAAGTGTTGTCTTTGTAGGAATTTTAACCCTTTAGACATGTTCAGTATTAAATGCTTTAATAAAATATGGCATTGAATATCTTGCAGGTTTCAAGGTCAAAGTCATCATCTCGTTCTTAAAATAAGATTTTAATTACAGAGCTGAGAATTATTTGTTGTTGCAGTCGTGGCCTTCCAATATGTCACAGCATTTGACACTGATTCCTAGAGAAGAGATTCTTGAACCAAAGCGTGTCATGTCAGTATTCCGAGAACGTGTGGAAAAGCACAAGGAAGAGATAGCAGAGCTGGAGGAAAGAGAGAAACTTGTAGAAAAGGAGAAACCAGTGAGTACTCAAGACACTTGTGGGTTGGTCAAACTAGTTTATATTAAAACCAAAAAGATTTTGAGTTCCCATATTTACACAAGTAAGCTGTGTGTGTGTGTATGCAATCTGTACTACACTTTTAAGAAGAAGAAGAAGGAGAGAAATATTTTTCCTCTGTCACAATTTTTTAACACTGGAAAAAGATCACTAAAGTAAATGCATATACACTCATCTAATTGTGCTAGGATAGGTTCGTGCCAGAGATAATCCTGTAATAGTCACATATTGTTCGTTGTTATTTCTTTGTTTCAGCCAGTATCATTTTATGAATTTTAAAATATCAGAAACAATTATCATGTAGTAATTTGTTTTACAGAAGCGTTCTGTGTTTTTTGTTTACAATTTTTTACCTGTGTTATCATTGAAGTGATCTGAAAATCTTATACTATATACTATAAAACATTTCAAGTAACACTTTCATCACCCTGATGACGGAAGCAGTATGACCTCTGAAAAGTTGGTGGAAATCTACCAGACTACATGGTGTAATAACCCAGAAGACAACAAATTTTTATTTGAATATTGTTGTCACATCTCTTTTTCAGTCTTCAGAGTTACTGCTTTTGAAAATTCTATATGTTCCTTGTTTTTTTTCATGATTACTATTAAATATCAAAATTTTCCTATTTATATGTTTGTTTTGTAGAATGTAGAAGTGTTGAATGGGCAGACTCCAGATGGTTGTACATATTATGAACAGTTCAATGCTCCGTGCGGTGTAATCCGCACGGGCGACTGTGTCTACGTACGCACTGACATAGGGCGGCAGCTTATTGCTCAAGTGGATTCTATATGGACCGACAAACAGTAAGTTTTGACGACTGCACTGAATGCTAATTGGTTTTATAAGGAATACAGTTTACAGGTTACTTTCATTTGCATTTCATAAATCATTTTCAGAATAGGTAACTCCGTGGAGTGGAGTTCTTTTGAAGCTAATAATCACGCAACTTGTCAAATCCCCTGCCTTTTATGGGATTCAGAAGTTTGTTATTGCAGGATTTGAGGTTATCGCAGCAGTTAAACTGTGATATCAAAGGCTCTGATTTATTTAAAGTTGTCAGATGTAGTCTGTCATTGGACCAGAACATAATTTTCTGTATGTCAGATTGAGTCTAGCATAGGGTATGAAGGTTTGACATTTTAAAGATATTGGTAACTATTTGTACAAACTGCTTTATCGGTTAGCAACTCGGAATTTGGTATTTGTTAATTTTATATTGTTCTTAATGTAAGCAGCAGTTCTTTAAACAGCATCATCTAGTTGATATTTGTTATTATTATTATTATTATTTATTTGACTGCAAATGGGTTTTTACCCGGTGGCAGTGGTCCTACAATAAGACACAACAAAACATAAGACAACAAAAACAATAAGAAACAAGAGAACAATGAAACAGAACAAAACAATAACACAAAAAACATAAGACAACACAAACAATAACAATAAGAAACAACAGAACAATGAGACACAACAAAACAATAAGACAACAAAACAATGAGACACAAAAAACATAAGGCACAACAAGAACAATAAGACACAACAAAGCAATAAACACAACAAAGCAATGGAGATGCAATATGTTTTCTTTGAGGTATGGACTGAATTCTTAAGTATTGTGTTTACATGCTTTGGCTTGAAAGAGTCAAACCATTTGTTAAATGTCAGTGTACAACAGACTATTTTTTACGAAACGCTGATGTCAGTCATTGCTCAGACTTAGAAGAATCGTACTGATGTGAATATTTCCTGTTACGTTATAGGGGTATGTGCTTCTTTCGAGGACCATGGCTTGTTACACCCCCAGAGATTCCTCATGCTCCAACACGACTTTTCTACAAGCAGGAAGTGTTCCTCAGTACCCTGGAAGATACAAATACAATAGACAGCTTAATGGGAAAATGTGCAGTTCTTGAACACGGCGAATACATCTCTTGTGAGTATTCCGACGGAATGGATCATTATTGTAGCCACGGAAACAAGATAGGTTATTTTTGAAAATGAACAGTGCAATGAGCACATCAGTTATCAATGGTAATGACTGAAAAACACACGTGATCTGAAGCAGAACATTGATGCTTAATGGTGATGACTTAAATATGCTTAAATTCAGTAGTTACTGTGAACATTTAACTTTTTGTGTAACATCCTTAAATGTGGAAGACATCAGATTTGAAACAAGGTGCATTCCAGGCCAGAAAAGTAAAGATTAATAAGGAGTAAATAGCGTGTTGGATTTTCACGTTTTGTGACATTACTGCTCGTTACAGGTCGCCCGACAGAAATCCTCGAGCATGATGTGTATGTGTGTGAATCAGTTTATGATGAAGCAAGGCGTCAAGTGAAGAAACTTCCTCGAGAGGGCTTGAAGAAGTATAGTCACAGCAATGCAGTCGCAGAGGATGAAATCTACTTCTTTCGCAGATTGATAAATCCGCCGAAGGTGTGTGTACGTTCACACCTGACTATATATTTTTAGGGGCCTTAGCTTTTTATGCTTTCTACTGAAGTAGCAACTTAAGGGAGAGTAACTTATTTATTCAAAGAAAATAGTGATACGTATATACAAAAAAATTGTGCCTTTGTCTCTTACGATATTGAAATATTTGGCACAGAAAAAAGGCATTATATTTTTATATGAATAATGGGATTGTCATTATGATTGCTTGTTAATGCTGAATCTTGAATGTAGGTTAACATAAATTTTACTAGCTTGGAGCTGGAATAGGTTGTCTTTGTCCATTATAGAATGCTGTATAGTGTGAAGGTGGATAATTTATGCAGGTTTGTGGCCAAGCAGTTATGTCCATTGTATGTTCAGAAGTGTAATATGTCATATTTCTTTAGGAGAGTAGAGGTCATTAACTCAGTTATTGAAGAAAAAGTTTCTTACAATACTCTTTTGCTGGCTCCCTCTCTCTTTTTTTTTGTGTGTGTGTGGATGCAGAGCCGGCGTAGCTCAGTCATTATAGTGACTGGCTCCGGAATGGGTGACCGGGGTTTGATCCCCGACGGGGGCAGAGGATTTTTCTTCTAGCCTCTGCGTCCAGACCGGCTCTGGGGCCCACCCAGCCTCCTATCCAATGGGTACAGGGGTCTTTTCCCAGGGGTAAAGCACGGCCAGGGCGTGATGCTGACCACTCACCCCCCATCTAGTGCCGAGGTCAAGGAAGAGAGGAGCTATACCTCCTCTCCCCCCAAACGTCTACATGGCGTATAGTGGGCAGCTTTACTCTTTTTTGGATATTATTTGTGGATGCACAATTTTTATGAGTATTATGTAACAACAAAGAAAGATGTTTCTACAAAATTGGTATTCATAACACTGTTTATTCTGTACTGTATTATTTCTATAAGTACAGGTTAGTCACATTGAATTTCCATATTAAATCAAGCGTTATGTGCTTTTGAAGGCTTGGCTATGTACCTACATACTAAACTCGCTTTCCTTGAAAGTTACAAAAGCTAATTATCTCCCATTACCAGAAATTTAATGTGTATAACCTAATTTCCATGCCATCCTATAGTATGCTGTTTAAGCTTCTTGCCATTTTTAATTTTTAAACAATATTCTGAATTATTAATTTATTTTATTTTGATTTCAGATTGGAAGTGATTCTGCCCAATCACAGCCTACTGAAGGACTTAAAACATCACTGCATTATGAAATGGTAAGTTGATACATATCATTTATACCACTACGTAAGTTTATGTATACCATTTCTTTAGCATATTTTCTATCCCCTAGCCAAATTTGCTATATATGCGGAGAGTGCATTAAAATGGCCTTACCTATGACAGCTAATGTTGGGGCTCGTAGAATTTGGTGGTAAGGCCTGCTACAGCCCATGTTATATTCCAGGCCCCATCACCACTGTTGCCCAGGATGAAGCCTGACATGCTGCAAATGGAGGACTCGCTGGATGGAGGGCCACCCTCTGTTGGCTCAGGGGATACTGCCCCACCTGTTGCTGTTACTGGTTCTGCCTGTGTTATATTCCAGGCCCCATCGCCACTGTTGCCAAAGATGGAGCCTGACATGCTGCAGTTGGAGGACTCGCTGGATGGAGGGCCACCCTCTGTTGGTTCAGGGGATACTGCTCCGCCCGTTGCTGTAACGACGCCCGTCTCTTCCAAGAAGGTCAGTGCTGTAGTTTGTTATTCAAAGTTTATTTTTATTTTATATTATTTTCTTTATTTTTGCATATTACTGCAAAATGCATATTTAATAGCGACTGACTGTAAGATTTGAGGTTTTCACAGTGTTGAGTATGAAGATTTCTGTCTTCTGGGTTGTTGCGCTGTGTAGTCTGGTCGATGTTTGCCAACGTTTCAGAGGTCATACTGCCTCCGTCATCAGGGCGATTCATCGCCCTGGTGACAGATGACCTCTGAAACGTTGGTTAGCATCAACCAGACTACACAGCGCAACAACCCAGAACACAGGAATCTTTCGACTGACTGTTTATTAGAAAGCTTTTATTTTGGATGAGATGGGACTATGTACCCAGTTGACTAGACGCTGGCTTCTCACCGAGGAGACCTGTGTTCATTCCCGGGTGACTTTAAGTGAGATTCATAATGGACAAAGTGGTACTTGGAAAGGTTTATCTGAGTTCTTTGGTTTCATCCTGCTATCATCATTCTACCATTCACTGGCCCAAGAGGTGTCTGATAGCCTTTACTAAGCAACATATTATCATAACCTCTGACCTATCACTTAGCTGGTCTTGAAGTAATATAGTTTTAGTTTTCCGAATTAGTATCTAAATGATTATAAAGAGAAACTATGTTGCAGTTCATTGAGAATCATTGTGTGAATTCTTACTGAAATTTTAACACCCAGAAAACAGTTGCAGTCCACTAGCTTGCTCTCATCTCTATCCTGTGCTTAATATTTCTTTAAAAGATCTTCTGCCTGATACTCTAATAATCATATTTAAGGTTTACATGCGTCATGTTTGTGTTTTTGATTAAAATATATAATAAAATTCAGGTCAATACACAAAACTTTATTTGGATGTTAAAATTTAAAATTTTAAATTTGCGCCATTCATCACTATAAGGATGTTACAATAGAGCGCTTTCATTCATTTCACAACATGTTTCGATGTAATACATCATCTCCAGGTGTTGTTTTTTAAAACTATTTTATATTATAATGATGAATGGCGCAAATTTAAAATTTAAAATTTTAACATTTAAATTTTAACATCCAAATAAAGTTTTGTGTAATGACCTGAATTTTATTATATATTCTAATAATCATGTTAATTCCATGCAACTTCTGGCCACATTACTTTTGTCTCTTGTTTTTGATGCATTCATTTATTAACATTGTTTAATGTCACATGTCTGTCTTGTTTGTGCTTCTTACATAGTCTCTTTAATTCTTGTTTTATTTTTTTATTTACTTTTTTGAGTCTGGTATATTTTCAGTTGCATAATTTAAAATGGGGCACGTATCACTTTTGTGTAAGCTTGTCATTTATTACCTTAATATGCATGTGTATGTTAGTCCAGATAATGCTAAAGCTTCTAACGTGGGTGGATGTATCGTGTTTGAGGTCCATGTTTTTTTTTTATTCTTGCCATTGCGCAATCAGAATTATTTGCTCTTTATACACTTATTTGTGTTTTGTTTATACTTTATATTTAAATCATTAATAACTACTAGCTTAAAATTCTACATTTTTTTTTCAAACAATCAGCAGTTCAAGTAATAGTCCGAGGAAAAACATTTAGTGTAAGTATATATTACTCGAAGTCCTACCACATGGATTGTCAGGATAATGGCAAGCTGCAAACAATTATTTTGTTGTTGTTGAGAAGTTGTGGACACGTAACAATCTTGCGGGCTACATCAGGGCAATTAATGGCTCCACGCTTATATACAAATTTTGACAAATGTGCGTACTCTAAATCTGCGGTTCCATTTTTGAAGAGAGGAAGCACCGTTCTGTTTTAAGAAAAAAGTGTACTAAGTTTTATTTGCTCGTATAGAAATCCTCTGGCAAGAAACTGGTGACAGGTTACATTCTGTACTCCAGCGACGTGCGCCGATCAGTTGCAGCCAATCATCCAGAATCCAGCTTTGGAGAAATCAGCCGTATTGTTGGGAATGAGGTACGTAGTAGAGATTATTATTGATTGAGTGACTTGTTTCAGGTGATTGATTTATATCATTTATATTCTCATGTTATTTAATGTCCAAGGAATTGGATGCTGACCTGCCTTTGGGGATTTGAAGTGAATTCATTTAAATGGGTATTTCTGTGCAATTTACTGATTCAGATATTAAAGGAAGTTTGTATTACCTGTCAATCTAGGCATTTGGTGTAGAGTGACTTGATTTGTGAATTAGGACAAGGTGAATTATAATTCCTCTGTGATTCATCTATTTGTGAATTAGGACAAGGTGAATTATGATTATTCTGTGATTCATCCAGGTTTGTGCCTCCACTTATACTTCGTGACAACCTCCTCAGTGCTTGAATCGTGATTTCTCACTTCTTTGGTGTTGAGTTGCTTGTTTCAGAGTGACTTGATTTTTCAAGTCACTGAATTATTGCACTTTCTGTACTTCGCTGAATCAGCGAGAAGAATAGTCTTGTCCGTCACTAGTATGGACTCGTTGAGCAAGAGGTGCTTGCTTGTTTGAATTTCTAAGACAACTGAAAATGTATTATGAAATACATAATTTTAAGGAAATTGTTGATGGAAGACACAGAGTTTGTGTGTCATGTATCATTACATTCAGATTGTGACTTTCTAATAAGTAATGTCCTCATCCGGTCTGATATCTGATTTTTTTGGCACTTAAGTTTCTGCCAGTAGTCGCATTTGTTTGCTATGACAACCTCTTTGTTCGGTAAAGTTTTATCTCATTAGTATGAGAATGCATTTAAGTGTAACTGAGATTTCAGACCAATACAATGGGATGCAGATATTTTATTATTGTGTGTTATGTTGGCAGTGGCGCAACCTACCAGCACAGGAGAAGCAGTGCTGGGAGGAGAGGGCAGCAAAGGTGAATGAGGAAAGTGCAGCCAAATTTGCACAAGAAGAAGCTGCAGCATCAGCAAGCCCCAACCCAATGACTCCCATGTCAATCAAACCTGCGATGAATCTCAGTAATTGTTCCCAAGAACAGATGATTGAGAATCTAGTGTTTGAATGCTGTTGGGACAATTGCGATTGGCAGTTCGAGGACCTGACTGACTGCATTGATCACTGCATCCAAGAACCCAATGGTCATGTACATCAGCATTTTGCAAACATTCCTCCTCAAGGTAAACTTCATTAATTTTCAGTAGTTACAGACAGAAGCTAGCAGTGTTAGATGCAAAATTCTATTGAGAAATGCTGTTAGTGTTTAACATAATTTTTTTTATGTTTGGATTGAGCGAGTGTCCGAATCTGTTGGTGATAATTTAGAGATTGAACCAGCTATATATATATATATATATATATATTTGTTTAGGGTCTTCCAGAAGGAGAATTAAGATTGCTTAGTTTTAGGTTAGAATTCTGAAGTAAAGATGTGAAAAGTCTTATTCTCCAACAACCCAACCTTTACCTTCTTTACTTCATGGCTTCTGCACTTAGGTCTGTTGTGACCCGAAATACTCATTCCATTTTCTCCAAGGGAATTTATGAATAAACCTTTGAACGCACTTTATGTCCATTTTCTACCCTAATGAAGGATTCTACTATGAATGCTTGATGTTTTATTGCAAACTTCATTGCAAGAGAAAGAAATGAAGACTGAGAGATAGATGTGGATCATACGAAACCCACCTAGTCTCTACCGATTTTGAGAATGACTCATTTTTCATATCACTGAGGTAGGAATGGACTGCTGGCAGAACATTCTCTTAGTTTGTGGTGTTGTAAAGTTTCCTTTCTGAACTGAATTCCATGTATTTGAACAAAATGAACCAAACTTTTCAACCTGAATTCTTTATGCTTAGGACATTCTGTTCTTCTTCTGTTACGTATCATAAACAGTGATAATAGTATACTTATACTCTTAACAGAACACAGATTACGTGTTTTGTTTGTGATTCTATGTTTCAGACTGTGAATTCCAGTGCCAGTGGCGAGGATGTGGACGTATCAAAAAGGCAGCACCGCCCTTTCCAAATGCTCAGCGTCTTGCTCGTCATGTGAAAGAAGTTCATATCCAGAAGGGCAATGGTCGTTCGATAGCGCCCTCAGATCGCAGCAAGTACGTCTTCATTGATAGTATTCAAAAGTACAGTCTTGTTGCATTGTGTGTTTATTATACAGCAGCAAATTTTGAGCTACACCTGTAGCTCGCCATTAATAAATAACTCAAACCTGTGAGGTAGGATGAAAGAATTTCTTAGAATCCAAATGGTGCTCTAAACAAACTTGTAATGAACCTAGATATCAAATATACATTATTTAATGAGCTTTTTGTGATAAAAATTGAGTGTCTCATAGAATATGGGCTTTATTGGATCAGTATGAACCAGTTATAAATTTTCACAGCAACTTTTATTGTGCATCTCCTAATACCATATTTTGTTGATATCAGTTCTTTCACTGATGAAACATGTGAAGTGATACATGGCCTTCCCTGTTTGCCTTCATTTTGTGCAAAGAATTAATCATGATAGCCAGAAAATGCAATTTGAATTTACACATGAAGGATTTTTATGGAACTTTCTTCAAAAACCTCATTGAGCAGTAAGAAGATGGCTGTCTTTAGGGTTGGGTGCTTCAGTCCAGTAGACAGCCATTATCATACTCACTGCTATAAGAACCTCAAATCCTTATTGAGCAGTAGTCATGTATTTTTTGGAATGGAACTTGAGCACTCAAAATGTTTTCTTAGGTTGAATGCCTTGTCAACATTTGCATTCCTAGTGGGCACCATCAGAGTCACATCACTTCTCCCACATGTTAAGGTGGCGACTGACTTGTAACATTTGCCTGTAATGTAACGTGTTACAAATCGAGCATTACACAAGTGAAGACAGCGAACGGAGCCGCTCGATGCGA